TTCCCGTTGTGGCCTCCTCTACATCGGGGAAACCAAGCGGAGGCTTGGGGACCGCTTTGCAGAACACCTACGCTCGGTTCGCACTAAACAACTGCACCTCCCAGTCGCAAACCATTTCAACTCCCCCTCCCCCTCCCATTTCTCAGACGACATGTCCACCCTGGGCCTTCTGCAGTGCCACAACGATGCCACCCGAAGGTTGCAGGAACAGCACTGCATATTCCGCTTGGGAACCCTGCAGCCCAATGGTATCAAAGTGGACTTCGCAAGCTTCAAAATCTCCCCTCCCCCTACCACATCCCAAAACCAGCCCAGCTCGTCCCCACCTCCCTAACCTGTCCTTCCTCCCACCTATCCCCTCCTCCCACCTCAAGCCCCACCCCCATCTCCTTCCTACTAGCCTCATCCCGCCCCCTTGACTTGTCCGTTCTCCCTGGACTGACCTATCTTCTCCCTCCCTCCCCACCTACACTCACCTTTACTGGCTCCATCCCCACCTCTTTGACCTGTCTGTCTCCTCTCCACCTATCCATCTTCTATCTGCCTCCCCCTCTCTCCCTATTTATTTCAGAACCCCCTTTTCCTCCCCCATTTCTGAAGAAGGGTCTAGGCCCGAAACGTCAGCTTTCCTGCTCCTCTGATGCTGCTTGGCCTGCTGTGTTCATCCAGCTCTACACTCTGTCATCTCAGATTCTCCAGCTTCTGCAGATCCTACTATCTCTGTAGGAAGATCTGTAAGGGTGTATTTAACACTATACACTACTTCAATTAGATTTTAACTAATAGGTTAAGAGGATACAAGTTCAGAATTGTAAAAGACAAAAGTACGTTTCATATCAGAAGAGCAATCAACATGCAAAACAGACCCTGGACAGGGGACTGAGTGCAAAAAAACTTGATCTAATTTCTGGGACAGTTCAGCAATGTGTAATCTTTCGGAATGAATGGACTAGGATTGGCCAATTAACTTTCTTGTTCAGGTCGAGGCAGTAAGATTCATCTCACGCAATGTCTGGAGCACAAAATCCAGGCTCATATTCCACTGAGAGGGCTATGTGCTGTCAGAGGTCACACTGTTCGGATGAGACATTAAACAAGGCTCCAATTTCCCACTTGTCAAACATCCCATGTCAGTACAAAAGCAGGGGAGGTAACACTTACATAGAAGCAAAAATTTAATCTTCAACTGGTATTATTAAAATAGATAATCTGGGTCGCATTGTTGTTTGTATGACATTGCTGTCAGTAAATTAGCTGCTGTGATTCCTAATACTGTGACTACATTTCACAGTTGCAATTTTGTTCATTCGTTCAATGTAGGCATTCCTGGCTCATCGCTAATAACTCAGAGGACAGTTAAGAGTCAACCACATTGCTGTGTGTCTGGAGTCATGCATAGGCCAGACCAGGTAAGGATGGCAGATTTTCTACCCTAAAGGACATTAGTGAACCAGATGGATTTTTACAACAATTGACAATGGTTACATGGCCACCATCAGTCCATCATTTTATTCAACATGTAACTGAATTTAAGTTTCACTATCTGCCATGGAGGGATTCAAACCCATGTCCATAGAACGTTTGCCAGCATTATTGATTGACATGACCTCCACACCACCACCTCCCCTTTGAGCTTTGAAAGGTTATGGGGTGATTGCATGTCCTCCCATTATCCCATTTTCCCAAATTATCTTCAGGAGAAATGTTTGGAGCAATGAAAAATATCTAAAAGTAGAGTGCTCTGCCCAGTCCTCAGCATCACAACACTTACCGTGACAAAGCCCATCTTCCCCACTGCTTCCTTGTGATCATTGTCAACTTGGCATACCAGTGCATTGCAAAGATGCACTGCTATACGTTGAATGGACTCGTCCTGTCGAGTCTGGTTGAGGATACTGAGGAGCAGCTCATTGACCCGCCGGTACTGGAACTCCAACTCCTCTGGAATACTAAAGTTGCAGAGCGTCAAGCAGCAATTCCGTTGTACCTACGTTGCCAGGAAGCGAGTGAGAGTGAGAGTTGTGGAAAGTGCATTACTAAGCACACAAGAAAAATCAAATGGTGCAGAGATGATCAGCAAGAGTGAAAGACTGGGACTATGGGGAACGAGTAAGCATAAGAGAGAAAAAGCGCATGGGGAGAGATGAGGGGAACAGGTGAGGCTGAAGAAATGGGCTGGGGAAAGTGGAGGTGAGATAGAGTGAGGTGGTGTGGGGGAGGACAGTAAGGGGGTGCATTGGGTATTGGGGGGTGAAGAGTGAGTGGGGAGGAGGCTCATGTTGGAATGTGTGAAGCAAGGGATCGCTGATGCACAGTAAATCGGGGACTTTGGGAAACAGAGACAAGAATATTGAGTTTGTTGGTTTTGTGTTAGGAGGACATGATGATCGGATGTAGTCAGGATAATCCTGAATGCAGCTTGAACCAGCAGAAGCTGATGGGCGTGGGAGTGGAGTGGAGGCAGCGGAGAAAAGGTGTTGAGGCAGGGGGGTCACGCGAAAGACAGCCACCACCAATCTGCCCTATACACCTCGCATAAACCTTCAGTGATTGACAAACAAAACATGTAAATGTACTTATGGTGAATACAGTAGAGATATCTGGCTTTTAATAAACTAAGTGTTGAAACAGACCTCTGTTTCAAGGTAGACACTTGTGGATTGTAAGGATAAGTTCATACCGTCACCTCCTGATAGGACTCCATACCATTCAACACCACCTGAATGACCTGGCGGCGGAGCTTGATGCTCTGTTCGTGCCGGTAATCTGAGCCAGTCAGATAGAAGAGAGCTGCGCTTCCTGTCACCTGAACACTTTTATCAAATTTGTGATACTTCAATGCAGAGATCACCAGCTGCAATGAGAAAACAGGAAACAGTTTTTAAAATAACCACTCTCCTTCTGTCTGTTTTATCAATGCAACAATGGTCAGAAAATTTGAAACCTTTATCTTTTACTTCTTCCTCTTTAGACCACATTAATCGACTCATTATCCTTTCTTCTCCTCTTTATGCTATCTCTGTACTGAGGGGTGAGGTATGTGTGCGTGTCTGTATCAGTGTGTTTGTGAGAGACGGTGTGCCATGCTTGAACAGCATACGCTGACAGATCAGCTTATCTTTTCCTGACTATTTTCTTATGTTCGCAAATCCAACTCTAAATCATTTTCTCCCTAGACTTCAAACACCTGGAACACTTTACTTTTCTCCTTCCAACCTTCCTGTATCCACTAACATCTTCCATAGCATCTTTAACAGAGTAAAAATGTTTGGTGCTTCACAGGCTCATTACTAAATAAAACTGGCCACATTTTAGGGCAGGTGGCATAAAGAAGAGGGGAGTGAAAAGATTTAGATAGGTAATTTCAGAATATATTCTAACTGATATAATTTTATTTTTTATGTTGCTTCATGGCTTCTGAGATGAATTCAAATTCATAGACCGATATTCTTTAACATTGGAAACCAATTCTCTAATTAAATCAAATTACAGTATGTCACAAGCTTTGGTGTGCGTCACCCAATCACTCCTTCCCCATACATTATCCTTTCTCTTCTTTCTACTTTTCAAGGCGAGGCAGAGGCATTATTATAGTGTCACTGGACTGGTAATTCTGAGTTCCAGGTTAATGTTTTGAGGATATGGGTTTAAATCCTACCACAGCAGACAGTGAAATTTGAATTCAAATCGAAAGAAAATCTAAATTTAAAATTCAAACCAGAAGCTACTTTGCAGTGATCTGATAATATTACAAAAATTTATCTGGTTCACTACCGCCCTTTAGAGAAGAAAAATGGTTGTCTGATATGTGACTCCAAGCCTAGAAAGCCTACCCCTTCTAGGGCAATTAGGAAAAGTCAACAAATGCTGGCCTTGTGTGCAACGTGCACTTCCCATGAAAGAATAAAAGAAGAGCTTGATACCATCACTGTGTGGAGTTGGAGAAACACAGCAGGCCAGGCAGCATCAGAGGAGGAGAGCCAACGCTTCGGGATGGGACCCTTCTTCTTCAGCTTTCCTACTCCTCTGATGCTGCCTGGCCTGCTGTGTTCCTCCAGCTCCACTGTGTTATCTCTGACTCCAACATCGGCAGTTCTTACCATCACTGCTTGGATTTATCACTGAAAACACTTTTTTGTTTTTAAGGTGATCACAAAACTGGAAGGTTTGTTCATTTCCTTCCAGAACCCTAATTATACAGAATTCCTATGAAAACATCAGACTTTTTCGCATTTTTTTCATGGTGGTTGGAGGGGAGAAGTTTCAGTTCTTTCCTTTTATTGCTTCATCTGACTAAAGTTTTCTCTGCAACCAGCTTGTGTTTTATTGGAAATCCTGTAGATGTAATAGCAGTTCATTTAAGGAAGTATCTAAAAGAGAAATGATTGACTTCTTTACATTATAATTGTAAGTTCTTATTATTTGCACAAACAGCTGGTTGTGAGGAGGCACAAGCTGAATAGGACAGCATATACTGAAAGCACTGCATGAAGGAAAGTTTGCAATGACCTTGGTGCTAAAAAAGGAAATGTCATAAAGTGGATCCAGTAACAAGGTTTAGTATTGCGTCTGGAGAAGCAGTGACCACTTTACATTGACACTACTAAAGCAGGTTTCAGTACCATTCTAAAACTGTCAGATCCCAGTCAACTGGACTTAATGTTCAAAGCTTACCTGTAGAGCTCGCAATGGTTGGTCACACTGTTCAATCCGTGCGATATCGAAGAGATGGTTTATTGCACGTGACGCAATCTCTGGCCGGTATTCAGTGTAAGCTTCTATGGCATTCAGGATTTGATCCTCATTTGCTTCACCAGTTATCTAGAAACAGGAACACAATCTGGAGTTCAGTCTGCAGGTCAGCCAATTACAACCCAAACCCTGAACGTAAGCTCTAAGATTCTTACGATGGTCCTTTTCCAGCTCCAAGCAATTATAGCAGATCACAAACACAAGGACATAAGTGCATTGGAACCACTAGCAGAGATGCACACATGTGTAAGACACATTTACATACACATATGGAAACACACACCCACAATCATGCATAAACACAGACACATATGCATATCCTAAAATGATTTTAAAAAGAGTAACAACGAGAACTAGCTCGCTATGCTTACCTTGTGGGCAGGAATATGAGTTAGGTTACAAAGTGTGGTGTCAAACAGTCCCAAAAACTGAAAAGATCTCCTCAGTGCACGGAATGGTTCAATGCTGCTCTTCTGTGGTTCGTTGCTAAAGACAAAAAAGTGTGAATCAATATGTGCAGTAACTGGTGCACAGTCTTATCACATTTCTCAGAAACATCTCCAAGCACTTGCCACAGAATGACATATTTTGTGCCTATGATCAGTAGCCATGCCTTTAGCCATCTAGGTCTTAAACTCTGAAATTCCTTCCCTAAAACTGCCCTTTAACCTCTCTCTCCTGGTTCAAGATATTCCTTCAAACCTATCTCTTTGATTAAGGCTTCAGTCATCTATCCTAATATTCCTTTCTTTGGAGTGGTGTCAACTTTTCTTTAAGTAGCATGTCTGTGAAATGCTTTGAGCCATTTTATAAGGTAAAGGTGCTATAAATGCAAATTATTGTCTTAAATTCCCAGAGAGATGGATGATTGGTTAATTGGTTTTATTGATTAAAAGATTAATATTGGCTGCAAAATGAGTGAAAATCCTTTCTTTTCTTTCAAGATTACTCAGATATCCATCTAAACCACTACAGAAAACTACTACAGCTTCAGTTGAACCTTGCATCCAAAGGGCAGCATATCGATCAATAGCACAATGGCTCAGTAGAGACTAGATTGTCACCCTAGATTAAGTACTCATATCCAGGAATGGCCTTGAATCCATAACCTTCTGATTCAGTAGTGGGAGTGTTTGTACATTTTATTTAAAGAGAGGCTGGGAGTTTGTCCTGGGCCAAATGGATCCCTAAACAACCAACACTGAAAGCCAATAAACTGGTCAAACATTTCAATACTATCTGAGGGACATGGCAATGCATACAATGGTCACTAGGCTTGACTACATAATCACAGCCATTGCATGCAATTCAAAATGTTTCAATGACTGCGAAACATTCTGAACATGCGATCAAAGACTCAAAATGAATGAAAGCAACATAATTTTGTCAGATTTGAAGATTTGAAAATGGCCCTGGAAAATGTGATCAGTAAAAGTACTTTGATGTTTAAATGTTTGGCGGTAGGCCTCAGGCCTTACCTTGCAGGACCCAGAGCCTCATCATGGCATGAGATTGCAGAGTTATCCAGCATCAGGTGCCCTGAGATGTCCAATGAGACAAGGTTTTTAAGGTTCTGTGCAAAGGCAGTAAGGACTTTCCGGGTAAGCTTGAATTTGTAAAAACTCGAAGTTCTGTCACGAGAAATATCCAAATGTCTGTGGAACAGAAACAACATATAGTGAACGAGACTTTGAGGTGGATGTGTTCAGGTTACAATTAAAACAATATTAGATTTGTTAATTAGCCACTACCCATTCTGAGCCAAAGTTTTTTCCACCTTCCAGACTTTTCCCTGGTGTCTTGGCTAAAATTTGTCCATGAATCAACAAAAGATATCACAAATCAGTTTGTGCTATGCACAAATTGGTTGCCTGGTTTCACTCTATCCATTGTCACTGTAGAAGTACAATAAATTTGGGAAGTCCTGAAGTCATGAAGGTCACAACAGAATGCAAGTCTTTATTTCCCTCAAAAACATATACTTAGAACATCTGATATTCATACTGTAAATCCTATTACTACGAGGAATAAATTACACCAATCTCTAACAATCCTACACAAGGAAGTGTAGAAGCTTCCAGCAACATCAGGGATGCAGCAAAACTGAATCCTAGTCACTTTCCTAGGGAATTTTTTTTTTTAATCTGTTCATGGGATGTAGGTGTTGCTGGTTAGACCAGCATACTCATCCTTGGTCTTAAATCCTTCCATGGCCTTGTCCCTCCCTATCTCTGCAATCTATAGTTCTCTGAGATCTCTGTCTTCCTCCAATTCTGGCTCCTTGAACATTCCCTGATGTTAATTAATCTATCATTGGTATCTGTGCCACCAGCTACCTGGCTCTGAAACACTGAAATTCTCTCCCTCAACCCTTTTCAGCTTGAAGATATTCCTTATAACTGATCTCCTTGATTATGCTGTTGGTTGATAAAAATAAAAGCAGAAAATGCTGGAGAAACACAGCAGGTCTGGCAGCTTCTGTGGAGAAGGAAACAGAATTAATGTTTCGAGGCTAATGTGACTCTTCTTCATTACTTTTGGTAACTTGTCTTATTGTCTCAGTAGCAAATGTTGTCTGATAATGTTCCTGTGAAGCATGTAGGGATGCTTAACTGTGTTAAAAATGCTATACAAGTTGTTTCCACTGTCATGCACTGCTGAGGGTGGGAATGAGCTTGGGGAAGGAGGAATTAAGATCTGCCACTTGACCCTGACCCAAAAGCGTTTTCCTCATACCTGAGGTTAGTGAGTTGCAAAAGGACCCAGATATGCTCCTCAGAGAGGTCCATGTTGTACAGAACCAGTGATCCAAGCCGCTTCTGCCACTGAAGCAGAAACTGGATGTCATTGAGCTGAACGCCAGAGAGGTCGAGCGAGGTGAGGGAGGTCAGCGGCCGCAGGAGTCGGTCCACATCCACTCCATCTGTCAGGTGACCCAGGTTGAGGAAGCAGAGCCTGTGGAAGCCAGCGAAGGTGAAATCTCTGACCAGGACCTGCCGTGTGGGGTTCACCAGGCTTTCATTATCTCCCTCGCAGCCACCAGGGTTCTCCTCCTCGTAAAAAATGTTCTTGCAGCCAAACAGGCTGAGGGAAACCAATGTGCTACGAAAGTTATTTAGAGTCTGCAGACTCTTGGCTGAGAGCTTCTCACAGTTAACCAGGCGGAGCTCAACCAGATCCTGAAGAATAAAAGCAGAATTTGTCATCACCTTAGAAACAGTGTTAAAGGTTTGTTGATTATGTTACTAAAGATACAGAGGTGATGGGATTGGTTTGATGAAGGACTGGGGCGACATATTGTTTTTCAGTTAGTGTAAATCACGTCAGGGCAGAGGGCAAGGTGGCAAAGTCAAAGCCTGAGTGAACTGCAAAATTTCTCAAAATATCTAGGGTAAGCTGCATGGCTTGCTGCGAGGGCATTAAAGACATCTCTGGCTCCACATACGAGGAGGTTCATGGAATTTTGAAAGCCTTTTTCGAGAATGGCAGCTGGGAATTGGTCACCGACACTGAACACAAGATCAAAATAGCCATGGAGAGCACGGCTGAAGTGCCAGAGATGGATACTGTATAGATTCGGGGGTTTAAGATCATTTCTACAATGTCTGCCTCTGACAGTCAATTTGTGGTTACATTTGAGCATGTCGGTCCCTGAGGTCTTCCACAACCAGGGGCTGGAGTGCAAATCAGCCCTAGGAATAACATTTTAATTTAATTCATTAACTTTCCTTTAAAGTTTTGTTTTGCAACAATGCTCCTTTAAGGTGGTAATTTATTAGTTAATTTGTTTAATTGGGCATTTGTTTTCAAAAAGAATATATGGGGAAAGTCAGACTGCACCAGGTCTTATTCTACAGGGGCTAAGTGCTAGTCATAAGCCAATGAATGGCCACCATATTGTAGTACTTTGATCTCTTCTTTGCAGTTTGTAACTGAGATACAGAAAAAGCTCACTGACCTCTTCTAGGACAAAAGGCTGCCTTCAGTCACTGCTGAAAAACTGAGTCATTCGATATAAATGCCACATTTTTGCAGGGTGAAAACATTCAAAGGTAAGTGTGTTTGAAAGCACCTAATGAGGGAATGATGTAGAAGGGAAGCTGCAGAGGTTAAACAAATGTGTTTATGCATTAAATGATGTGTCATGGGTATTATATTTCTCAGATGGATCAGTATTTCTGAACGTAGATCGTATACATAGGATTACCTCCACCTACAAGTAACCCTTGAAGCCACATCCATCCTGCAGAGTCAAAGTCCTGGAACTCATTTCCTAACATTACTGTGGAAATGCCCATGCCACATGGACTGCAGCAGTTCAAGAAGACAGCTCATCACTATCTTTTAAAGGGAAATTAGGGTTCGATATTAAATGCTGGCTCAGCCAGAGATACTCACAATCCGTGAAGGAATAAAAAAGACAAAAATGTTTACTTGAAGAAATTATTGGATGTCTTAGAGGAGACATTTCTTGTGTTATGATTAGTTATAAGAATTATGAAAAGCATATTTTTCCTTAAATTATTTTATATGTTAACTATGTTTAAGTATGTCATAAAGTCTTTCTTTAAATACAATGAGCAAAAGGAATCTGTTAATAATTTGTTGATTACATTGTTTAAAAACACAGGTCACAGTATTGTTTTATTAAGGACAAGGTATCACCAAGGGCTCTTGAGGCATGGTTTAACATCCCTACCTGTAGACTTGGAGACCTGGGTTCCAATCCTACCTATTCCAAGGTCTGTAATAACATCCCTGAACAGGTTGATTAGAAATATCCAGGATGCCACATAGCATTAAAGACTCTTGTGATACAGTGGTAGTATCCCTGCCTCTGAGCCTGAAGTCTAAGTTTAATTCCCAACTACCCAGAGATGATAACATCTCTGAACAGGTTGATTAAAAATAATCAGGTTTAAATTTGAAGAAAAAAAGCTATTGTGTTGCAGTGGTAATGTGTCTACATCTATAACAGGGTTTGAATCCCACCTGCTTCAGAAGTGTATAATAACATCTCTGAACAGATTGATTAGAAAATATCTAAAAGAGATTCAGCTGGAGGAGTTAGGAAGCCATGCCTGGAAGGCTGCATTCTGTGAATAAACCTACCAGGGGAAAGAATTGTGTTTTATTTTGTTCTTCACATCGGGACTGGGTCTATTTAACAAAACACATTGTGACCGCTGACCTCACAACGTATAAATCATAAAACGTAGGAGCAGAAGTAGTAGGGCAATTGACCCATCGAGTCTACACCATCATTCAATGACATGGCTGATCTGATAATCCTCTCAACTCCACTTTTCTGTATTTTCCCTATAACCCTGGATTCACTTCCGATTAAAAATCTGTCTCTCTCAACCTTGAATATTCTTTATGATTCAGCCTCAACAATTCTCTGCAGTCAAGAATTCCACAGAATCCAAGAGAAGAGATTCTTCATCTCTGATTTAAATTGGTGACCCTTTACTTTGGGATTATGCCCTCTCGCCCCAGGCTCTCCCACAAGGGGAAACAACCTTTCCACATCTACCCTATCAAGCCCACCAAGATTTTTATGTTTTAGGTAAGGTTGCCTCTCATTCTTAAGAACATAGGATGAGGAGTAGGCCATTCAGCCTCTCCAACTGTTCTGCCATTCGTTGAGATCTTGGTTGGTCTGTGACCCAAGTCCATATACCTGCCTCTGACCCATAACCCTTAATATCTTGCTTACCAAAAATTAATTTATCTCAGATTTAAAATTAACAATCCAGCATCTACTGTCATTTATGTAAGACAGTTCCAAACCTCCACCACCCATTCTTTTAAACGTTTATGAGTACAAGCCCAACCTACAAAAACCCTCCTAACAAGAAAATCCCTCCATATCTGAAGTGCATAACCTAATATTTTCCACATTGTATTCCAACTGCCAAGATTTTTGACCACTCACTTAACCTGTCAGTATCTTTCAGCAAACTTTTTGTGTCATCCTCAGGATTTGTCTTTCCATTTGTGTCATGCACAAACATGGTGACAGCACTTTCACTTCCCTCATCCAAATCTTTAATTCAGATATTTGTCTAATGTTCAGATATGTTACTAAACACCTTGGGAGCAGGTGGGATGTGAACTCTGGTCTCCTAGCTCAAAGATAAGAAGAATACCACAGTGCCACCAGAACCCTTAAGTAGTTAATATATATTGTAAATAACTACGGCTCCAGCACTCATCTCTGTGGCACTCCACCTGTTACAAACTGCCATGCTGAAAATGCCTTCCCCCACCTTCTTATCTCAACTCTCTGTCTTCTACTGGTTAGCCAATCCTTTATCCATGCTAATATACCACCCCACGGGGTGATTATCTTCTTAAGTAACCTTATATACAGCACCTTATCAAAGGCCTTAAACACTAAAGTACCCTAATGAGGGGTTATTTTACTGCACTAGTAATCCCAAAGCCTGGACCAGGAACTCATAGGAGTTCAAACCTGGGGTTCAAATTTCAAATTCTCAATTACTTCAAAAGGAAATCTGTAGATAAAAAGCTGGGATCCACGAAGTTCGTAAAAAACCCAGCTGATTCACTGATGTCCTTTAGGGAAGGAATCCTGTCTTCTTTTTCTAAATTGGGCCTACATATAATTCCAGTCCTGCACCAACTTGGTTTTTGCTTAATTGCCTTCAAAAATGGCCTTCATAAGGATTGGGCAATAAATGCTATGTCCTGAAAATAACTTAAAAATAACTCTACGTTGGAATGAGATGGGGCTGGAGGAAAAGAAGGGGGTTAAGGGAGAGGGGGAAGGTTGGGGAAAAAGGCATTTGGGGAGAAGGAGGGGGCTTTGGGGGAGGAGTGCAGTTGTGAGAGAGGGAGGGAGGAAGAATTGGAGGAGGAGTAGAGAATTGAGGTAGGATGTTTAGTGTTAGAGAATGGTGAGAATGTTTAGGATCTGAAATGCACTGCCTGACACAGAGTAGTGAAGGCAGATTCAATCATGGATTTTAAGAAGATACTTATCTAAAGATATAAAATTGCAGTGTTATGGCAAAGGGTGGGGGAATGGGAGTGCTGAGTAACTTTTGCAGAGACCAGATATGATATGTCGAATGACCTCCTTCAATGCTGTAATCATCTGTGATTCTAGGAGTGGAGAGCATGTAGATGTTGTTGCCACATGGAGTGTTTGAAGCAGACAGTATTGATGCAGACATGAAGGGTTAACAAATATAGAAGGATATTGCAGGTAGAGTGGGTTGCCAGTCCAGTACTATAATCACTACATGATCATTCACATCCCAAACCTGTTCTATACTCAGCTCCATATTTACAATTCCTTACAACATCCTGTCTGATGCACAGCTGTCGAAACACGAAGGTGACAGGTTTGATCTTTGCTCTGTGCTGGTCTCAAAGAAAGGTACATTGGGAATATAATAATTGGCCCCACTGACTCCAGATTAGGGAGAGGAGAGTTAGATACAGTCCTGACTGCACTGGAAAACATGGGAACTGAGATTGGTAGAGTTGTGAATTCTCACTCTCATTGCTGAATAGCCTGTCAACACTCACTGTCCAGCTGTTCAGGCTGAATAACAGCTCAGTGAGCAGGATGACTGGGGCCTTGTTAAACTGTACCTTTAGTGAGAGATCACCATCTTCATGAGGGGGAAGACTGACTGTTGAAACAAAATATGCCCAGCTTATCCTGCTTTGATGCCAGCAGCACTCCAACTAATGGTCTCTCAGCTCACACTTACCAGTTCAAGCAATGCATTTCAACAGGACTAACTGTAAAATGAGCTTCTAGGGAGTAAGCTTCACAAAGAAATAATGGGAGGGTTTTTAAAATGTAAAAGGCACACATACCTGCTTAGAAAAGGCCACCAAGTCCTGATCCTGCACGATATCCTCCTGAATGCCCCTCAGGTGTATGTGAGTTAGTCGGGTGCTCCGATGATCTGAGAACAAGCTGAAGAAGCTTTCGTGTGGCTGGAAGCTATTGTCTGTATTTACCAGGTCCATATACCTAGAACATGCACACAGGGAGAGGCGAGTCTATTTAAACAGTCATAGATTGAGAGTGTGACCAAGGTGGATGGGGCAATAGAAAAACATAAAAACAAAGGCTTTCAGGTTTCCATTACTGTTTGGTTAAGTAAATGCTTTCTGATTATACTTCCTGAATGTGGAAGTTCTACTCTTCTGGGCTCTCTCCACTAGCAGAAATAGTTTATTTTTACTTCCCTATTAAACTATTACATAATTTCAAAAAACCTGATCAGATCACCCCTTGATTTTTCAAAACGGGAGGGAATACAAACCAAACTACAGCTTTTCCTATTCATATTTATCTTGTGAACCCTCTGCCACTTGCACTGTTGCCAATAACTCAAACTATTTTAAACTTATAGAAACAAATAAAACAAGAACTGGAGTAGGCCACTTAGCCCTTTGAGCCTGCTCCACCATTCAATAGGATCACGGCTGATTGTTCAACTAAGTCTCCATTCCCATTTTTGCACCATCCTCTTTGATCCCTTTAGCCCTAAAAACTGTATCAATCCCCTTGTTAGAAAAATTCAGTGTTTTGATTTCAACCACTTTCTGCGGCAGAGAATTCCACAACTCACCACTCTCTGGCGAAGATATTTCTCCTTAACTCAGTCCTAAATGACCTACTCTGTATCCTTAAATTGTGACCCCTTGTCCTGTAGGAGGACACTATTCAGCCCCTCAATCCTGTTCTGTCAACATTCAGGCAGATTGTGGCTCCCTCGAGCTGTCTTGGTTCCTTAATCCTTAATGCCCTTTCCTACCCAAATTCTACCAGTCTTCAGTTTAGCAATTAACAATTGACTGCTTGCATCAACAGCTTTTTGGAAAGAAAGACTTGCAATTATACCATGCTTTCACAACTTCAAGACATCCCAAGATGTTTTGCAGCCTATGAAGTAATTTTGAAGTGCCATCACTGTTGCAAAGTTGAAATGGCTGCCAATTTACACACTGCAAGCTCCCAGTGTATGAAGAAGTGCTTTCTGATGACACCATTTGAAGGCGCTTTCTGTCACTGTGCTTTACCCTTCTTCTCCTCAATAACCCCTCTCTGACACACACACACACACACACACACATAGCTTGGGACTCACATGTTGACGAGGCGGTCACAGATCTCACTGGGCAGGAAGACGTCAGGATGGAGTCTCAGGGTCTCATTGTCTTGCATGTAGCACAGGGTTCCTTCCAGGTTGTGCAGACAGTACTTTGTGCACAGAGTCATGAGTGATTCGGGGCTGTACAACGCCATGTCTGGCAGCCCCCCACCTTGCTTCCTTCACAATTGGCTCAGCAGTTACACACCGCCTGGAGCTACATGGATATTGGGAGAGATCTGGGAAATGAGGGGAAGCCAGGAGTCAGCCAAAAGTTTCAGTACAACAGATACAGGTGCAACTTGCCTAACTTTTCCTCATAAGACAACCCCTTCAATCCAGGAATCAGCCAACAGATTGTTGTTCTTTGCACACCATCCAAGACGATGATAACTTTTTTTTTTAAAATTAGGAGGCTAAAATTGTACATATTACTCCAGGTGTTGTCACACCAATGCCCTGTAATTCTCTATTTTTTTATATTCCATCCTCTTGCTAAAAGTAATAAAGAGCCACTTGCAATTCACTGTGTATAAAAGAAAAACTATCCTCATCTCTCCACTGTACTTTTAGGAATTATTTTAAACCTGTGTAACTTACACCCCGCCCCCAGACAGTGGAAAATTTCTCCTTAACTGATCCAGCATAATTTTGAACTGCTATTACATCAGCCCTTGAGCATCTCTGCTGTAAATTGAACAATCCCAGTGTATCTGGAAGTATTTATTAGAATATGGCTTCAGTGTGTAGCATGGGTTGTTGAGAGGCACTCAGTATTGTAAACTACTGGGTAGCACAGCGTATCCTGAAATCTGAAGTTTCTGTTTGCTCAGTTTGTCCATTACAGCTCAAATAGTGATTTGAAGTTGTTCTAAATGTAAATAACAAAAAGCAATTAATCCAAAACCATCTAAATGAATATAGAATCATAGAATCCCTACAGTTTGGAAACAGGCCCTTCAGCCCAACAAGTCCACAACGATCCTTGGAGCATCCCACCCAGACCCATACCCCTGTAAGCCCTGAACACTACGGGAAATTTAGCATGGCCAATCCACATAGCCTGCACATCTTTGGACTGTGGGAGGAAACCGGAACACCAGGAGGAAACCCACGCAGATGCGGGGAGAATGAGCAGACTCCACACAGACAGTCGCCCGAGGGTGGAATCGGGTCCCTGGTGCTGTGAAGCAGCAGTGTTAACCACTGAGCCACTGTGTCGCCCATCGTTGGTAAATGAATACCCAGGTTAAACATATAAAATGTTGTGAAACATTACTCAATATTCTACATGTTGTTTCAATGAAAGAATTCAATTGATCAAGCAGGGATTCAGATTGGGAGAGGCAGGGCAACAGCAGTTCAGAAAAATCAAAAGAACTATGGTTGCTGGAAATCAGAAACAAAAATAGCAAATGCTGGAAAAACTCAGCAAGTCTGGAATCTGTGGAGACAAAGCAGAGTTAAAGTTTCAGGTCCAGTGATCCATCTTCAGAACTGATGGTAGCTAGGAAAAAGTTGGTATTTACGCAGAAGATGGGATGGGGAGGAAGAGGGTAGGAGTAAACAATAGGTGGAGATAGAGCCCAAAGAGAGAGAAAGATAGTTGGACAGAAAAAGGACTGGGTAAAAGTCAGCCCAGGTTCAGAAAAAGTTCAGAAAAGTTTTGTTTTATTATTTCACGGGATGCAATACATTATTAATAAGGCCAATATTTGTTGTCCATCCCTAATTGCCTTTGATTGCTAGGACTTTTCAGAGTGATTTAAGAGTCACATTTCAGTGGGTCTGGATTCACAGTAGGAAGGTAAGAACATCAGATTTCCTTCCCTTTAGGACATTAGTGAACCGGGTGGATTTTTATGACAACCGACAAAGGCTTCACGGTCACTGTCCCTGAAACTAATTTTCAATTCTAGTGTTGTTTACTAAACTTAAATTCCATTGGATGCTATGGTTGGATTTGAAACTATAGGCTCTGGGTTACTTGTCCAGTGACGTTACCATTTTTTTATTCATTCACAAGATGTGGGTGTTACTGGCTAGCCTAGGCAAGTATTTACTGTCCATCTGTAATTACTGTCAAGAGGGTGGTCTGCATTCTTGAACCTCTGCAGTCTACATAGTGCGCCTACAGTCACGGTGCTTCTCAGGAGGGATTTCCAGGATATAACTCTGCAACAAAGAAGAAATGGCGATATATTTCCACGTCAGGAATGGCTTGACACTTGGAAAGGAGCTTGCAGGTGGTGGTGTTTATATGTATCTGCTGCCTTTCTGGTACAGACTACAGATTTGAAAGGTGTTGCTGAAGAACTAATCACGACCGTCTGTCATGTATCTTGTAGATAGTATACTTTGCTGCCACCATATGTCAGTGATGGAGGGAACTGATGTCGAAGGTGGTGGATGTGGTGCCAATCAAACAGCCTACTTTGATCTGGACGGTGTCAAACTTCTCGAGTGTTATTGAAGATGCACCTGTTCCATCATGCTCCCGACTTATATCTTGTAGATGGTGGACAGACACTGGGGAGTAAGGAGGTGAGTTACTCACTGGGGAATTCCTAAACTCTGACCTGCTTTCATAGCCAATGTATTTATGTGGCTGGCCAGTTCAGTTTCTTGTCAATGGTAACCCCAGGATGTTGATCATGGTCAATTTAGTGATGGTAGTCATGCAATTCTAAGTCATGGGGTGATAGCTAAATTGCCTCTTTTTGGAGATTATTATTTCCTGGCACTGGTATAGCATGAATGTAACTCATCACTTATCAGCTCAAACCTGCATATTATCCAAGTCTTGCTGTATTTGTACATGGGCTGTTTCAGGATCTGAGCAGTTGCAAATGGTACTGAACATTATGCAGTCATCAATATCCCAACTTCTGATCTCATGATACAGGGAAGGTCAAACTTCCTAACAGATACCCCAAAGAACCTCTGCAGAGATGCCCTTGGACAGAGGTGACTGACCTCCAACAGTCACAACTATCTTCCTTTGTGAGATATACCTCTGACCAGAGGACAGTTTTCACCCCATTGGCTCCAGTATTGCCAAAGCTCCTTGATGCTACACTCGATCATCTCTGCAGGAGTTCCTCACGGTAGCGTCCTAGGTTCAACCATCTTCAGCTGCTTCATCAATGACCTTCCCACCATCATAAGGTCAGAAGTGGGGATGTTCGCCAATGATTGCACAAAGTTCAGCACCATTCGTGACTCCTCAGTTACTGAAGCAGTACACATTCAAATGCAACAAGATCTGGACAATATCCAGGCTTGGGCTGACAAGTGGCAAGCAACATTCATGCCACACAAATACCAAACAATGACCAACACCAATGACCAATGGTGTTACCATCGCTAAATCCCCCACTATCAACATCCAGAAACTCAACTGGCCTCACTACATAAACACAGTGGCTACAAACGCAGGTCAGACACTAGGAGTATTGCAGTGAGTAACTCACCTCCTGACCAACCCGACAAAAAAACAAAGCCTGACCATCATCCATAAAGCACAAGTCAGAAGTGTGATGGAATACACTTCACTTGCACGGTTGCTGTGCCAACAACACTCAAGAACTTGAAACCATCCAGGTCAAAGCAGCCCACTTGATTGGCACTGCATCCACAAACATCCACTCCCTCCACCTCAGTAGCAGCAGTGTGTACTATCTACAAGATGCACTGCTGAAATTCGACAAGGATCCTCAGACAGAACCTTCCAAACCCATGACAACTTCCATCTTGATGGACAAGGGCAGCAGATATGAGAAAACTACCACCTTCAAGTACCTCTCCTCATCACTCACCATCCGGACTAGGAAATATAAGA